ATGTTATATCAGTACATATTTTAAAAGTATCAAATGAGATTAAATTCACCTAGGAGTTGATTATAGACACAAGAGCAGATCATGATATTTAATGACATGATTATAATACTCAATAGAGGAGGTGTGATACTCAATGAAAATGTCTTAATGCTCAACGAATAGAACTTACTATTTTCATATCAATGCTCATTTTGTAAGTTGTGTCTGCTCATTTGATATTGTGTTACACTCATTTTTAAAATTGACATATCAATGCATATTTCAAAAGTACCATATTATACTAGATTCATATATTGAATTTCATAAGAGTTGATTATAGATAAAATTTAAAAAAATATATAAATGAAAAAATTAGAAAAAGAAAGTGAATTAGAAGATACGAATTAGAAATTACGATGCTCAAAATTGGACTCTTAATTTAAACGAAAAATCACGTCTTCCGCTAAATGAGCAATAATGTACTTTTAGTGAGCATCTGACCTATTTTAGTGAGTATTATGAAGCTAATAATGAGTATCACGATCTCTGCTTCATATTTTCTAATTCTTTTTTTTTTTTCCTTATTTTTTTGTTTATAAAAACTTTTTAAATTATATCTATAATACACTCCTATTAATTTCAATATTCTAGTTTAATGTAATACGGAGTATAATACTTTTTAACATATGCATTGATATAACATTTTAAAAATGAGCATAACATCAATGCCAAATGAGCATACATAACTTACAAAGTGCACATTGATATGAAAGTCGTAAGGTTTGTTAGTTGAACATCACAGCATTTTAATTGAGCATCAAACCTCCACTATTCCGGTGAATGAGCATTAATGAACTTTTAATGAGCGTCAGGCATATTATGTTGACTATTAGGAGTCTAATATTCAAAATCGTGATTTCTGTTCCATAACTTCTAATTCACTTTCTTTTTTTCATTTTTGCTTAAATATAAAAACTTATTAAATTATATTTATAATCAACTCCTATGAATTTTAATATGTGAAAGTAATGCAAAATGGTGTAGTACTTTTAAAAAATACATTGATATGACATTTAGAAAATGAGTATAAGATGAGTATCAGATGAGCATAGTAACTTACAAAATGCGCATTTCGGTGGCATTTTTTAATTTAAGCAAAAATCACGGCTCTCACTAAATGAGCAATATTGTACTTTTAGTGAGCATCTGACCTATTTTATTGAGCATTAAGAGGCTAACAATGAGTATAACGATCTCTGCTTCATATCTTCTAATTCATTTTTTTTAAAACATATTGAATTATATCTATAATACACTCCTATGAATTTTAATATGCGAATTTAATGTATATGTTACTTTTGAAATATGCATTGATATGACGTTATAAAAATGAGCATAACATGAGCATCAATTGAGCTTAAGTTAGTTACAAAATGAGCATGATATGAAAATCATAATTTTTTTAGTCGAACTTCAAGACATTTTTATTGAGCATCAAACATTCTCTATATGGAGTATCATGGTATGTGCTTCTATGTCTATAACCAACTCCTACGTGAATGTAATTTAATATGGCACTTTTAAAATAAACATTTGTATAATAAATTAAGAATGAGCTAACACCAGTACAAAATGAGCATACATTACTTATCAAATGATCAATGATATGAAAATAATAAGTTTTGTTAGTTGGGCATCAAGAAATTTTCGTTGATATCTGCATTAATATGACATTTTAAAATGAGCATAAAACCAATATCAAATGAACATACGTAACTTACAAAATGAGTATCAAAAAATTCCAAAGCTGGTTTGAATATCTAATGTGTTCAAATTTTCATTTGTCCGCATATAATGACAAATATAGTAGTTTATATTCAAAATAATTTATAATTTTTTGTTCTCAAATTACAAATATAATCAGATTCTTTTATAATGTTTTACCATGCATATTTATTTTACAGTATACTCATTTTAGTATAACATAAAACTCACATTAGTAATTAACACACAATATTTAATAAATTAATAAATATTCATCTTAAAAATAAAAATAGAAAAAACAAACATAAATACCTAAAATATTTTATAATGCACAAATTAAAAAATTTAAGTTAGAAGGTTGATTGGAAATAGAAAAAACAATCTCAAACATTAAATAATATTTTATATAATACATTTTCATAATAATTGAATAAAAAGATTTTTAAAGAAAAAATAAAAAAACGAAAAAGCAACAATTAAAATAAACAAAAAGAAAGAAGCAAACAACATGTCAAAGACTCGAAGCAACGAAAAGAAAACAAAACGAGAGAAAAGAAAAATGTAAAGCAATGATCGTCGATCAAGGCTAATGTGCAGGAGCCATGGCCCAGGAGCAATGACGGCGGAAAAATAGGTTAGGCAGTCCAGACACGTTAGGTAAATCAGAGGCTTGAAGTTCAAGTATATTACAAAAATACCCGGCTGTACCATGCTCAAGATACAGCCGGTTGTAGGATATAATTTACGGTTCCAGGCCCTTGCCCGGCCCCTTGGTAGTTGGTACCAACCTTTTCAAAGTAAACGTTGGCACGATGGATTTGTACACGTTTTTTTGTCAAATCTTTTCCTTGCAAGGTGATTAGTCATTAATATGCTTGATTGCCATTTGCAAAAAAACGTCATTTTGGAATAAAAACTGCCCTTTAGCCTTGATTGTCATTTTTATATTTATTAAAATTGCACGTTCTATTTTAGTCAATAAAGTCGAATCCTTCCTTAGAAAGAGTCTATTTGATGTGTAGGCCAATTTTCTTATAAATGATAGGGTCCATACCAATTGTGCTCAAATGCTAAAGAAATTTAAAAGTTAATAGATTTTTTTTACAAGAATATTATTAAAATAAAACATATTTACATAAATATGACTATTCATTAATCATTACTACAATGCGGTGTTGTGGTAACTTAAGCTCAAAACTTGAATATGAATTACTATGATTTCATTATTATTCTAGTCACTAATCATTTTTTTGTAAATCATCTTTATTTCGATCATATTTATGTAATTATTTCAAGTTAATATTATAAAATGAAATAAAAGTGAAATGTGAAAGATAAAGTTGGCCAATTACCCACCACTACCAAGCATTATTACATTTTATTATTTGATTTTATTGTGAGTGCTTTTCCAACAATGGGTACGCCTTAAGGGACATCTTTTAATACTTCTCTACTTCGATACTTACTTTCGATTGTACTTTGAGTGTATTATTTGAAAAATAAGTGTAACCTTATGAGTTATGACCATTAAAGTGTCCTTTGAAAAATTACGAGTGAAAAGAAGCATTTTTGGGATTTGGTGCTTCCCTGCTTATCTATCTGCTTGAAGAATGAATCAATACGCGTTTTTGACTCATTTATACATTTTGATTCTTCTCATTCACTAGTCTTTGTATATAATCATTTATTCAACAATTTCTCGTGTAAGATAGCCAAGGAGCTGCCATATCGAACAAAAACACGAGTTCACATTTTATTAACAATAATCAATTGATATTTAGGGTCGAGATACGCATCAAGATTTATCTAAATGAGATTAGGAAACATATCATATGAGGAAAGGTTTGTAGCTCTTATATTGCATTACTGCTCCTAGAGTGTTGCACTAATCATCAAACATTACTCATATCTCATGTAATACACTTCGACCCATAAACAACGTTCCAATAAGCCACATATTATACGCAGTAATAAAATATGGCAATCATAACCACGTCGGTGTGTCGCCAATAAAACACTAAATCCATATACGAGGATTTAATACCTTTATTTAGAAACGAAACTACTCAATATTTTGCATTGTTTAAAAGTATTTTTTCAATTAAAGTGAGTTTATAAGTACATTAGTACAACAAAGAGAAGGTGCGGGCTTCCTAGGTTTGGATGAGCGCGCGCGGCGGCATGTACCTAGTTTTTTAAGTGTTGTTTATGGGACGATTTGTTTTACGCTAAATCTTGTCGGGTGGATTTGTTTCTTATGTACTTCAAGGCAGAAGTGCTTGGAGATGGTGATGCGATGAGTCTTATTAGTTGGAATTGTAGGAGAACAAGAAATCTAGTTATCATTCAGATTTTTAGCAAAGTCATTACTCGGTAATGATCATCTTAATTGAAAAGTTTAGCGAGATTCCTTTAAAGTAGATTTGATTTCCTTAAATGTCATCATGCTCCTCAATCTCTTTGTGGTGCCATAGTTAGCCCGCCCACATCCCGAACCACTCAACACCACCACCATCACTTGAGAGAGGTGTGTAAATAGATTGCAAATTTGAATAGTTCAGAATAAATGTCATTGGTACTCATACCGTCGTGATAGATTTGCTGATGACGACAAACTAGGGAGCAGAATGGTTGGACATTGACAAGTCATTGCTATATACTTTGTATGAAAAAAACTTAGATGGGATAAGAGTTACTAATCTATTGGTTTTATAACTAATCTATTATTTTTATATTTAAGGGTATAATATACTCACTAAATTAACTTGGTAACATATGAAGTGACAGAGTTAAAAAATTGTCACTTATCTTCTCAATGGAATGACTAACCTGATATTATATGTTTCTCAAACCATTTTCTATATTATGAATTTATGAGTGACAAATATGATGAGTAACCGTGATTACTTTTATAGTGACAAGATTACAAAGTCGTCAATTGGTTCATTGTTTTCTAAGTCGCTACTTTATTTGACATTTTGATAAATATTACTCCGTAGTAATCTAGCTTTGCAAATAATTAGCATTTTTAAAAACTCTTTAAAAATTACTGTACATTTTTTCAAAAAACACGAACGTTTATTTTCTCAATTTTTCTCAAACATTATAAACTTTTAGAATTATCACTTTTCACATAATTTTTAAAATTAATCATTTTCAAAAAATAGAAGTAAATACCAAATAGAACCACTCTGTTGAACAACCTAATAAAACCGTCGTAGATATGGATGAGGTTGATCGACCATGACCGTCTTAACTCTTAATGCAAGCGGCTCTCCCTTTATTTAGAAGAACGCCGTCAGTGGTAACGCCGAGAATGCTGTATCCATCATCAATTATTTCTACAAACCCTAACGGTGTTCCCCACTTACTCCGCCGTTCCAACATGATACCCACCCCGGAGCCACCCCCGACGGCGGCGGTAACATTTCCTTTCTTTTCAAATCCCAAAGTCGATCTCTCAAGTCCAATTCAAAATACTACCCTATCAAAATGCTTCTCTTCAACCACTCCTGTGAGCTCTATTTTGGACTCCGGAAGTGAAATGCTGGGATCCGGCACGGAGTCTAAGCTGGTCGTTGTTTCTTTCTATAAGTTTGCAGATTTTCCTGACCACGCAGAGCTAAGGGAACCATTGAAGGAGCTTTGCGAGCAGCTGGTATGCCGCTTTCCTTTTTGTGTTAGTATTTTGTTTAATTTGCTAAAGGTGTTAGCTTTATATAATGTCTGGAAGTCGCTATTCAAATATAAAGACAGTGTTTTGCTTAATCTGATCAAATAATGGATGGCTTTCTTTAATGTCTCTAAGTCTTTATTGTGTTTTGCTTAATTGGGCAGATTATACGTGAAGATTATCTTCAATCTTAAGTCCTCATTTAAAGATCTTAGATTAATTTGCCTCATTAGTCAATCAATGGTCAAATTGAGTGTGAAAATGTTGACACTGCTTATTGGAAACCTCACCTGTAATAGTTAGTCTTACATGGACGAAATGGCCCAAAATGCTGCTTTTCTTGAGAGGATGTGTGCTTGGTGATATGCATTTCAGCCAATTAAGTAAGTCAAAAGCTAGAAATAGCTATCAAATGGAACCTTATAGATTTTGGCTAAACATATGTCTCACTATTTCTGGTAGTCATGGACCCATTAGTATCCGCCATCCGGATTTGTGACATTTTTTAGTGTTATATGCATTAGCTGTTATTTTCACACCAATTATTTTCAGTTAATTGATTCTTTCCATGTCATTTGTACCTTACCAAGCTGATTATATTCAGCATGTGTCAGGTGGTATTATTCTTGCACCTGAAGGAATAAATGGAAGCATATGTGGTATCCAGGATTCTGTGGAAGAGGTTCTTGCATACATTGAACGTGATAACCGCTTAAAGGGACTGAGAAGGGTGGAGTCTCCAGTGGGTCCTGAAGAAGAGGCCATTCATCATGGACATACAAGCAGCTCCCCTCTTGCTGCTGGTGAAGGTGCTCCATTTCGATGGGATCACGTTAGGGTTAAGCTGAAAAAGGAGGTAACTGTATGGGTCAGTTTGGAACCTGAATATACTAAGAAAATAGACACGAATGAAAAGGAAAGAAAACTTGTGGGTTAGTTCATAATAAGTGAATTCAAGTAAATAGTTTTAGATATTTATTGAAACTCATTTATATATATGTATGTATATGTACTCATTTATTTCTGTTATATAAAAAATTATAAATTTGAATGTATGTTTTTTAAGGAATTAATCATATTTCGTTTTCCTTGGCACATAGGAAAATAATTGTGCTTCTCATTTCTTTCTTTTCCCTGGCAGTTTCCATGATCCAAACATACCCTAACTAAAACAAAGCAATAAAATTACTCCACTGTATTTATTCTTCAGTAGTGGGATGCTGATCTTTAATTACTATTCTTTTCCTGACAGATAGTCACACTTGGTATGCCATCTGTTTCACCAATTGAAAGAGTTGGAAAGTATGTTAAGCCAAAGGATTGGAATGCATTGATAAGTAACCCGGATGTTGTGAGTTACTTTACATCATTAGTAATATTTGTTGGCTTATTTCTATAGTTATGGGAGAAATCACAATAAGCTTTTCACTCCCGTTCACAGAAGTGTTGTTCTGGAAGAAATCACATGGACTTAACAGTCATTAAGTGGTATAAATGAATATTGAGAATTTGAGATTAATAAAAGAGGGGAAAAGGACACTTTTATAAAACTGTACATACTATGAACATCTAAAATAAAAAAAATCATCTAAAACAACGCCTATTGCGAACTTTAGCCTGAAAGGAGTATATGTCGCTTTAATCTTTGGATTTATTGCATTAGTGGTGTGGTGCACAGAAATGCAATTCTGGTGTTGATATGTTAATACTTAGGCTCTGTTTATAGCCAGTTCTGTCCTATCATGTTTATCTGTAGTATAACCGGAATAGGCAAAATGAGTAGCTTTTGACTTGCTCATTTGGAAATGGGCCCTTGAATGTTTCCGGATGACCCGCGTCGAAAATTGCATGAATTGACTGTTGCTTCATAGTAACAAAGAAGCGCAAACAGCTTAGTAAGACATTTTGCTTTGTTCGCCAAAAAATAGTGAATCTTTGGCTCCATTGCAAATGATGAAAATTACCTTCACACAGGTCATATTCATAAATTCATATTAGACAAGGATTTTGAAATTAGCCATGTGATTGGTCAGACTGGCATTTAATTTTGATTCCATATGAATTAAACATCAACACTCATGAACTATCAATGCCGATGTCTTTTCTTGAGATAAATACTAGATTGATTGCTTCAATTAAGCGATTATGATTACTTGGTAGGTTGTTATTGATGTGCGCAATGACTATGAAACTAGAATTGGGAAGTTCAAAGGCGCAGTAGACCCATGTACCGAGTCCTTTCGGAATTTCCCATCCTGGGTTGACAATCACTTTGTGCTAAGAGAGTCCAATGATCAGACGCATTCCAGTGTTTCTAATGCAGTGCCTGAAAAAGAAACTGTGGAAAGGGAAAAGAAGCCACTTCCCAGAGTGGCAATGTACTGCACAGGTGGAATTCGCTGCGAGAAAGCTTCAAGTTTGCTCCTAAGGAACGGGTTTGAGGAGGTAATAAACTACCACAATTATCTATTTATTCAGAACATCTATGGTTGACATGAGTTCATTCAACCCATGCCCTAAAGCGAAACTTGGAAAAAGTTTGGGTGAAATATCTTTACGGCCCAAAATCAACCCTAAAATGTTTTGGTTCAGCTTTTTTGAATTATGGTCCAATCCCAGAATTTATAATTTAAAACTTTGTAGTATAAGTTGAAAAAGTGAATGATAGCAAGATGACAGAGAAATCGGCTGTAATTCCATAATTATAGACACATCATGATGTTTGTAACTGTTCGCTTTTTTTTATGTGCAAAGTGTCTAATTGACATCTTCCTTCATCCCACAAAAGGACGCATCCTTGGATAGTTACAACTTATTGTCATATTATTATGAGTCAACTCTATCAATATACAAGCTTATACACACCTAAGGCCTATTTCCAATATTGTTTAGAGTAATAGAATTTGACCCTTCGGTGCTTGGCTTTATTAATTTTACTTGGAAACTCGTTGGACTTTGAAAAACGTTATTTTTTGTTTGGGACAAAAAAACTTCTTCAAATGTGTATTTCTTTCGGTACAGGGGTGGAGAATAACAAATGTACCAATAGAGAGAATAGTTAAAAACAGTCTACTTATAATTTATGCAGTATTATTTATTGGTGCATTAATATTATCGGGATTTTGTTTGAACCTGCATATAATGATTAAACCTCAGGCCGACTGAATCAAGAGCTTGAGTTAAGCTTAACCCATTTTTTCTTGAACCGGACCCTAAGTATTGAACTTTTGGTGAAATCTGAAATTACTGAACAGGTTTATCATCTGGAAGGTGGGATACTGAAGTATCTTGAGGAAGTTCCAGAGAGTATGAGTCTGTGGGAAGGGGAATGCTTCGTGTTTGACCAGCGGGTCTCGGTTGAACACGGTTTGGTTCAAGGCACGTTCAAGCTCTGCTACGGTTGCAGAGAACCGGTGAGTGATGCTGACATGGAATCTCCAGAATGGGAGTATGGAGTTACTTGCCCGCACTGTTTTTCATCCAAATCTGAAGAAGAGAAAGAGAGGGCACGAGCCCGGCAAAGACAGTTCAAGAGTTGTGGCATTATTGGTGGTCCAAATAAGGGCCGGAAAACTTCAAAGGTTGACAATAGCAAAGAACAAAGTCCATAGTATGGTTGGTGGTGAACATTTGCCATCTCTAATACAGAATTGAATTTAGAAGCCCATCTGGAAGGGGCAGGGTAGCTCAAGTGGCTCAATGTGCTGAAATGCAGAAGTTGGATGAAAGGACTAGTTTGGATTCAATCCCTTAAATTTAGGGATGGACTCGGGCCGGGCCAACCGGCCCGGAACCGGACCGGCCCGCTACTGTGCGGGCCCGGACCGGCCCGGTCAACCGGTTCGGTTCCGGTTCGGGCCTCCAGGCCCGGTGGTATACCGGTCCGGGCCTCCAGTTTAGTGAACCGGCCCGGCCGGGCCGGGCCCGGTTCGGGCCGGAATTTATTTATTTTTTTTTTTTTTTTGAAATTTTTTTAAGTTTTGGGTTGGATTAGGTATTTTGGGCCATTTGAGGTGGTTTGGGGTGGTTTGGGGTGGAGGGGGAGGGGGTTAAATAAGAGAAGAAGAAGAAAAAAAAAAAACATTCCGGGTGGCCCGGCCCGGCCCGGCCCGGTTCTGGCCCGGAACCGGAACCGGAACCGCCCACCACCGGTTCGGGCTCGGGCCTCCTTTTTCTGAACCGAGGCCCGGCCGGGCCCAGGCCCGAACCGGGCCCGAACCGGAACCGGTCCACCCCTGCTTAAATTGTGATAAAAGTTACAAGAATGTATTTAAGTAGATTGCAGATATTAATTTAAAGGCAATTCATGCGCTACTTTCATTATCAATTTATCATAGGCGGTCGGCTTATTTAGTCTTTATGTTGTAACCAATAATTAGGGTTGTAAGAAAAATCTTCAATGACGAATGATTTCTCTTGTGGTAGTGATGTAGAATCTACAAGCTTTTGTAGAGACATTCTACTAGTATATAATTTTGACTACAAATGTCGTTATTATATGACTCTGAAACCTCCCATGACTCCTTGAGCGTTTTTAATGGTGTGGAGTTGGTAAAAAAGCTTTAATAATTTGAAGGATTTAAAACCAGAAGTGTAAACATAACCAAGTCTAAATTAAAGGAAGTGGTCTAATTCTACTGATTGTTGACTTAAATTCTATGGAGATACTTTCAGCAATTTTTATCTTAGGCTCCCCACCTTGACTCCTTGAGTCCTTGGGGTCCAAAAAAATTGGCAAAGATACTTGGTACTTTGCCGTTTGAGAATTTCCATAAGTTCCGTTTAGTGATTCTTTTGCTTAAAATAAATATTCAACGAAGGGTCAAAGATAAAGGAACGTATTGGGTAAGAACTTCCCATTTCAAATGATAGAAGATGAATTGAGCATTTGAGCAGGGTGTCACACATTTTCAGAAAGCTCTCCAGAGGTTATGATAACAAATTGTAAAAGTGTCTTAATTAAAGAAATTAGGGCGCAAAGATCAATAGATGACCATGGTTTTCACGCCATCATTCCTTGAATTTGAAGCATGCCAAGTGCTAAAATATTCACCAGTATCGATAAAACTGTCAAATAGGTTCTCGAACTTTCATAAAAAAGTCAATTAAGTCCTTCTATAGGAGACTCTGTCTGACGTCGCGATTTGGGGCGGTTCCAGGTGGAATTTTTTGATGAAATTTTTTGAGCATCTTATTCATCAAGTCTAGTTTACTCATACCAAATATCAGCTAAAAATTCAATCGGGAGCGCATTCAAATTAATTCGAGAACGCAAAAATGCGCAGTTATCTTCAAGAATTAATTTGAATGTGTTTCTGATTGAATTTTTAGCTGAAATTTGGTATGAGTAAACTAGACTTGGTGAATAAGATCCTTAAAAAATTTCATCAAAAATTTCCACCGGGAACTGCCCCAAATCACGACGGCCGGACAGAATCTCCTATAGAAGGACTTAATTGACCTTTTTATGAAAGTTCGAGAACCTATTTGACTGTTTTCCCTTTTAATTATAATCAAATATAATCTGATAAAGAGCTCACATTTCAACCATTATTTTTGTCTCATTCTTTTTAGGAAAAAGGGTCAAATACACCCTTGTACTATTGCAAATCGATCACTTACACCCATGTACTATAAAAAACATCTTATAGAGAATAGACTCATCAACTTTCATAAAACAATCAAATGAGCCAAAACACCCAAAGGTGACCTTCAATAGCAAGTCATCCTCACTTTTTGTCTCTCATATTTACTGTTTCCATTTTCTTTTTTATTATGCCCACTTTTAGCTTCTAATCCCAGTTTTTCATTAAAAAAATTGAACCAAGGGGATTCAATCCCTGGATGGTGCTGAAATGCGACAGATGGCATACCGTTTGAGCTACATGTTCAATACGTTTACATTTACGTAAAACTTCTATATTCATCCAACATAACTGTTAGTACCCAATAGATTTTGATGATGCCACTATACCAATAAATGAACACCTCCACCACCTAATAAATCATGACTAATAAAATGTATCAAATAAAGTATACTGAAAACTTAAAATACAATAAGGTAATTTTTGTTACCTTAAAAAGGATATTCAAATCCTACCAGTATAACTTTATTTAATACACAAATAAAACTAAGAAGTGGGAAGTGTTGAACAAATGCCCCAAATAATTTTTTGCTAGAAAATAAGAAATTCACTAGGGTAATTGTTTTTACCCTAAGAATATACAAAAGATCCTTCCAGTACATAATTTACTTGGTGCACAGTGACATGCAGGGATAAGCCGTATAACAAAGGCGTAAGGCTAAAATGCATTTAATGCAAGAATTGTACATGGGTCCCAGAAGATGATGATGCTACACAAGAAGTGATCTCTCGGAGAAGAACTGATCGGCAAAGATTATCTCCTTATCTTGCTCCAACACATGAAGACAAAAAGTACAACTCTTTCAGCGACTACGATCAACTCCTCTCAACCAATGGAGGAGATTGATCTGCTCAAAAGACCTATAAAAGTAGGCAGAAGCATGAGTGCTAAAATCAAGTTTTTGAGTTATCTAAGTAGAGTGTACACTTCAAACATTCAAGAGATATCTAGCAAAAGAGAAAGTGCACGTTAAACTTTGCTCTCTGCTTAGACTCATGTTTCACTAAGCTCTTAGACTAGATCATACACGATTATACCTTTAGAGCTTAGTTTCTAGTTGGAGGTTAGAAATTTTCTTGAAAACAAATTGTTGTAAACACTTAGGAGAACAGTTGTTCGGATCCTATAGTGTGGTTAGATAGATAGAGTACCTTTTGATCCCCACTGGATCAACTGAGAAAAGTCTTAAGGTTTGAGTAACTTGGAGTGGTGTTATACTCCTCGAGAAACGCCTTCAATCTAGGCCAGAGTTGTCAAGGCTAGATTGGCACTAATTGTATTGGGCTGAATACTTTAGTGGAAATCCATTTGAAAGAGAATGGGACTGGATGTAGGAGGATTACACCACCTCTGAACCATGATACATCGTGTGTTGATTTACATTCACATATACAAAACACACACCAAACACGTCTCACAGAAGGATTGTAGTTTGTCAGCAGCATCCTAAGCAGTAGTCTTAACTGACCCTACTGCTTATCCTACTGCTTAATAACTCACTCTCCTTAAGACTGCTTTCCACAAAGAAGATTTCAAAAACTCAGAAGGTGTCTCAGCAGTACCCTGGTCTTCACCCACCTGCTGAGTCCACTGCCCACCCATACGTGTCTTTCCAAACTCCATAACAAGCCAGAACAGAAACTATCCAAGAGTCATCTTGTTTCTCAGCAGTTACCTCAGCAGTCCCCTGCCCCTCAGCCAACTGCCAACCCAGCAGTTACCTCAGCAGTGATCTGCCCATCAGGCAACTGCCAAGCCAACTGCTCACGGTTTAAAGTCCAAACATCACCAGAACTAGAAAGCTGTTTCATATTGAGTATAAAGAGGTTAAAGACTTCTGTTGTGCATCTATTAATCTCTCAAAAGATTATAGATCAACTCATCTAGAGGGAAAAGTGTTTCAAAATTGAAAAAGCTTTAGCTGAGAGCAAAGAACTTTGTCAACCGACAAACTCTTTAGTGATCTCAACGCTTATGAAAGTAAATGCTATGAGAGATAGCAGAGATCTCAGAACTTTGTCAACCGACAAACTCTTCAGTGATCTCAAGGCTTATGAATTTGAAATGAAGGAGATCAAAGAAGAGAAGGAAGATGAATCCAAGACACTAGCTCTAGTGTCTGAGCCAAGCACTTCAAAATCTGCTGAAAAATTTCCCAATAATCTCCTCACTGACGAGCAGTTTGCTATGTTTGTGAGGAAATTTAAAAGATTCATGAATGAGGGAACTGCTCCAAAGAAAGCATACAACCTGCCACCTAGAAGACAAGGAAGACATCAATCCAGAGAGGAAACTGTCCTGTGCTACAACTGTAGACAACCAGGACATTACAAAAATGAATGCCCTCTACCTTAGCCCAGAAGTATCAAGGGCAGCAGGGGTCTAGTCTCAAAACTAGTTACAAAAGGGACTTCAAAAGAAAAAGACAAGCCTTTGTAAGTGAAAAGAAAAAGGAGGAAGCCCAATCTGAAGATGAAAGCAGCTCAAGTGATGAAAGCTCTTCATCTGAAAGCTCAGAAGAAGCACTTCTATGCCTGGGATCCTGGCAGGTGGCTGAAAAAGGTGGAAGCTGGCTCACTGGAGAAAGCAGCCGATGGCTCAGTAAAGATGATGAATGCAGCTCCCCCAAATGCCTAATGACCAAAGACTACTACAATGATGTTGAGGTAACATCCTGCTCTTCTTATAGCTCTAGTGATTCTGGACCAACCAATATAACTCTGGAATCTTTATTACAAGATTTCCAAAGAGTCCAAAATCACCATGTTCTCTTAAGATCAGAAAATGATAGATTAAAACAAGACATTAAGGCTATTCATACTAAACTGTTAGATGCCTTAACCAAAAACAATGTCTTAGAAAAGGAGAACAAAGAGCTGAAAGACAAACTGAATAACTTCAGCATGGATAGTAAAACCTGTGACTCTACTGCTGAAGTTGTTCTAAATAAGAAAAGAAGAGGGCTTGGATATGTATCCCCCACCAGACTCACCCCAAACTCAACTTCCACAAGCCACCAACAAAATACAAGAAAGCTAATCTACCAAAAAACTCATTCTCAAATTGTTCCCATATTAAGAAACCTGCCTGATCCCAAATCAAAATCCAATCTCATATATAAACAAAAACTTCCCAACCATCAAAACCCAAGAACCCGTTGGCAATCAACCAATAAGACCAACCACAGTCAAAACACTAAGCAGTCTCCTCCAAAAGCCAAATATCCATTTTCCACTTCAAGAAGAAAAGGATTAACAAATACATAGCCATCCCCCATGATTATAATACTTCAAATGGCTATAGACCAATCTGCTTAGAACTAAATGGTTCTAGATGGGCATGGATGCCCAAACTTGTACAAAGAAAGTCGCCCACTAACTTGTGGGCTACTGCTCAACAATGATGAATACAGGAAGATACTGGAGCAGTCAACTCACAAGCATGGTACATAGATTCAGGCTGCTCCAGGCACATGACAGGCAGCAGGTGGCTTCTGTCAAACTATATGGCAAGAGAAGGACCCAAAGGTACTTTTGGGAATGTGGAAAAACAAGGAGAAACCAAAGGAGCTGGAGACCTATCCATCAATGGACTTACAATTCAAAACATATCTTATGTTAAAGGATTAAAGTTCAATCTCATAAGCACAAGCCAGCTCTGTGACAATGGCTATAATGTTACATTCTCCAAAGACATCTGCTTGATTAGAGATGTCAAAAATAACAAAATTGTGCTCACTGGTAGAAGAAAGAAGGACATGTACATTGTTGATTGGAGTTCAGCAAAGGAAGGAATCTGCCTGGTGACAAAGGCAGATTCAAATTTGAGTTGGGAATGGCATAACAA